GGTGGGGGGCAGAAGCGCTAGTAAGACTGTTAATGATGGTGTCTCTCCTTTTCGAACCATTTAGTTATAAACTGCTCGGAGAGCCTCTCAAAAAGCGCAAATCTTTGTGTCTTACGAATATGTGACCGCTGTCTAGTCTTGGGTTGGTTGAGACCCAAGGTTATTTTTCCCCCCTCTCTTTATTGTTAGCATCATAACGGAGGAGGAGGATGCCTCCCGGGAAGAACATCTGGGTTATGTTCTCCTCTCCCCTGCTGTCAGCAGTGGGGTTTTTTTGGGAGGGGGGCTGTGTGAGGACTGCACCCCTTGGCCATCCCGCCGTAGGACGGCAGGCACTCGGGCGGGGGGGGGAGAGTTTCTTGGGCGACAACTCCCAGAGATCCGTGCGGGGGCAGCTAGCGGAGAAGGCTTTTGGGAGTTGTAGTCCAAGAACATCTGGGGACCCCGGGTTGGGAACCACCGTTCTGGAAGAGGGTACACAGCAAGAAAAACACACCCACACCCCCCGAGTCTCATTACAGATCCCAGTGCAAGTATTGCATGGAGGGTGGTGGTGGGGTTTGATGGTGTTGCGAAGAATCGCTCTGAAAATGTGTGTCGCTTCTTCCACCCACATTGGGGAAATGCATGGCCTCCAGCTGCTGGCGAACCCCTGGGCCCATCCTTCCCTCGCCTTTTGGCCAGGCTGGCTCAGGGTGATGGGTTTTGGAGTCCAACCCACCCAGGATACCTTATCATGTTCCCCCTTCTGGTGGCCTTTCTCCTCCCGGCCTCTCCTGCTCTCCCCCTGAGTGCCTCAGGCGATGGAGGCCATGAGCCCCCCCCAAATCGGACTTGGTGTTTGCTCATTCCAGGGTGTGTGGGGGGTCTCCCTGCCCTGCCACTGGCTTCCCTCCCAGCCACCAACTTGGCTGACCTGTGGGGCAAACAGACCAGGTCCAAATCTGGGTGCAGCCGGGTTTTCTTTGTTTTTTGTTTTTATTTTATTTTAAATAAGATTTAAGCTGCATCAGGCATGGCTGTCTGTATGCCATCATTTTTACTGTGTAATTTATTGTAAAACAATTATTTAAGAGAATTTCCCGTGTTTTAAAGTTCTCTTGCCTGGTAGTAAACGGACAATCTCTCTAAGTTTGAGGTTCTCTCTCCCTCTTCTCAACCCATTTTTCCTTTTTGGAAAGGGGGACTCAAACCCAGATCTGTGTGAGTGCCATGCAGAAAAAAAGAGTCCACACTTTCTTGTATGCAAAGGCCTCCCTTTGGACATTCCTTCCCCCCTCCTTAATTTTTGGAAATACTGTATCTAATAAATAGGAAGACAAAATCTCTGTGGGTTATGTTTTAATTTGGCCTTTTTCCGTTTTCTTCTGTGTATTAGGTTGTAGTGATGTTTTCTGATCAGTCAATAAATACAGTGGGATCCCTATATTTGTGGGATCAGTCTGAAAATAGTAATACTGTACTTTGAAAAGAAAAATCTATATTTCTAAAGATGAAGTTCCCAGAATCGGCCACTGGGGGAGTCAGAAACTGCTATTCCTCGTGTTTCCTCTAATCCACATTTTCCAGCATCCGCAGGGGGATTCGGAACCAATGCCCTGCGGCTATGGAGATTTTACTATAATCCTGTTTATGTCTTCTCAGGACTAAGTCACATTGACTTGATCCTAGATAACTATATACTGGATGATATACTTTCCAACTTTGTCTACAGTACATACTTTGACTATACAGTAATTACTTAGGAGCCTCTCATACAGAGGTATGTATAATGTTTTTTGCTTTCCATCAAGGAAGACTTTCTTTCCAATGTTCTCGCAGGCGGCTATGATATTGTAGAGTCGGGAGGGGCCCCTGAGCGTCATTTAGACCAATCCCACCCTGTAACATGAGCTTTGCTCTGAGAAGCTTAACTTCTCTGTGCCCCACTTTGGACTGCGTTGTGGTTGAACTGCTTTAAGAATCCTGTAGCTTAAAATTCAGGATACGCCCACAAACCGACCCACCTCGCTGGCTTTTGAAACGTACCACAGGGATCCTTGATGCCCTCTTCTGCATCCAGGGTCTCAGCTCTTAGGGGGAGGTGTTGAGAAGCATGTGCACCCCCACACACACAAGTAGCAAAAAGAAGACGACCAATCCCCAAATCACAGAAAATCTGGCCGACCATGTCTTGAAGCAACACAATACCCATTGCGGTTCAAAGAGCCCTCCTGTCCCCATACGGTTGCCATATCTGTGGGATCAGTATCCAGCATTTCCCCTCCCTGTGGTCTGAAAATATTAAAAGGAAAAAAATTAGAAATACTGTACAGTATGTGTTTTCAGGATGTATTTACCAGAACTGGCCACTAGAGGGAACCACAGACCATGTCTTGTTGAAGAATGCATAGCATCTCCTACCTCTAATGGCTAGTTCTGTTAATACATGGTCAAAATACATATTTCTAGATTGCTTTCCCCCTTTTACTATGTAATCTGTAGTGTTTCCTATTATCCACAGTTTGCGACATCCGCAGGGGCTTGAAGCCAATCTTCTGTGGATATAGGGATCCTACTGTATTAGGAACGCCTGCTTCTTGGGAGGAAAGCGATGACAAATCTAGACAGCATCTTAAAAAGCAGAGACATCACCTTGCCGACAAAGGTCCGCATAGTCAAAGCTATGGTTTTCCCAGTAGCGATGTATGGAAGTGAGAGTTGAACCATAAAGAAGGCTGACCGCCAAAGAATGGATGCTTTGGAATTGTGGTGCTGGAGGAGGCTCTTGAGAGTCCCCTGGACTGCAAGGAGAACAAACTTATCCATTCTGAAGGAAATCGACACCGAGTGCTCCCTGGAAGGACAGATCCTGAAGCTGAGGCTCCAATACTCTGGCTATCTCATGAGAAGAGAAGACTCCCTGGAAAAGACCCTGATATTGGGAAAGTGAAGGCAGGAGGAGAAGGGGACGACAGAGGACAAGATGGATAGACAGGGTCATCTAAGTGACCAACGTGAATTTGACCCAGCTCCAGGAGGCAGTGGAAGACATGAGGGCCTGGTATGGTCTAGCCCATGGGATCGTGAAGAGTTGAACATGACTTAGCGACTAAACAACAACAACTGTATTAGGAAATCCAGAGTCTCAAAGCAACCAACTCTGCCACAATTCAGAGGGGTGCTCCGCCCTCGGACCTTCTCGGCTGTGGGGTTTGGTTTGGTTTTTTCCTCCAACGTGGGCGACGCCGTGGCTGACAGCCGTCCTCCGTCCGTCCCCAGCCCCTGAAGGGAAGGAGGATCCAACACCGTCCCTTGGCGCGCTCTTCTTCTCCTGCCTTGAGGATGAGATGGGGAAACCACCCTGGTCACTTCCTTGAGTAACCCTTTTCTCTCAAGGTCTCGAGCTGAAGAGGAAGCGTTTGGCCTCCAACCGTTGGCTTCCCCGCGGACTCCAGTTCTGCTTTGCGCTCTTCTCGGGAGGAGATCTACGTTCCAAGGTGCGGAGGGAGCCGCCCCGGTTTCTCTAATCCCTGTCTGTTTCCATCAGCTGGAGGAGGAGAGCGAACAGAGGTTCCCTGGAGATGGAGGGAGACTTTTGGGTGCTCCTTGTGAGGAGGCCGGTGGCACTCCTGGTCATGCTTCAAGCAGGTAAAACGAACCATCGAACCATCCGTTGCAGTGGGTTGGATCCAGCTTAGGAGGAGAGCTTCTGTCAATCCCCGAGGGTGGGGTGGGGAAACCAAATTGTTTTAAGTCTTACGTTTTGCATTCCTAAATCCAAAGAGGAATCTCAATGAGGCAACTGCAAACCATTTAATCAGTGTTCCTTTGAGGGGAAAAAAACTTCAGGGCTAGTTTCTGGGTGTTTCATTTCCTTTAAGAGGTGTTGTTTATGGTAGAGAAAGTTGCCTTTTATTATTTAAGTGCCAATATTTAAAAGGCTTAATTCTGGGGCTGGACCGGTAAAAGAGAACAGACCACCACATGAAGGTAAGTCCGAACCGTTCCTTAAATAATAGATCAAAATGAGTGAATTCCATTCAGTGAATTAGCCTGAAGGACTGGATCTGATTTTCGAAGGATCGTTAAAAGTTTTATGAAATAAAAAGGAAGGGGAAAAGGCAAATAATGACTAATCCACCCCTGTCCAAAGAAACTCCATTAATATACACACACTCAGTGCCATTTGTTGTCCAGAATTAAAGAAGAATTAAGGACTCTTCCCTCTGAGAAATCCATTCAGTTCAACAGCGGTCATTCGAGGGTCTTGTGATACATCAAATAAGTTTGTATAGGTACACAAATTTTTGAAAAACAAGGGGGGAAATGCAGAGAAGGGCCTCAATTTAGTCAGTTTATATGCAAAAGCCCATTATATTGGGCTTAAAAGGTTGTTCCTGAGTCATTTCAGGTCTGATTCTCTCCCGTCGTCCTTCCTCTTCTTCTACCATGGTTTCCCTCGGAGGTTTCCTCATGCAGTCTTACATCATGCAACCGTTTTCATTTGATCCTCAGGCAATCTCTTGGTGTGTTTTTTTTAAAAAAACTTACAAAGGTCTCCAGCGAATTGTTGAGACTGTAAGTGCCAGTTAATGAGTGGGTGCCAAGGGGTGGTCTTCTCTGGAGAACTTGAAGCTGTTCTCCTCTGTAAATCCTGGGACCATCCCGGTCAAATGAATTGCAGGCAGCTATTCTAACATTCACCTTTTTTGTCTTCTAGGTCTTTGGTTTGCCACCGGCACTTCGGGGAGCCGAGTTATAGGGGGCTGGGAAGCGAAGCCCCATTCCCGGCCTTTTATGGCCTCCATCCAACTGAACGGGGAACATTTCTGCGGCGGGTTTTTGGTGCGGAAGAGGTGGGTGATGACCGCGGCCCACTGCGACATACCCCGGTAAGTGAGAGTCGAGATCCGATCCGCAGCGCCCAAAGCGTTTGGGTCGGATCTGAAACTGGGCGGCGGGTTCGAATCCTGTTGCGGTGGTGCAAGTTATTTGTCATGTTAGTGCTCGTCGAGGAGATGAAAAAGGGGTTGTCTCCGCTGGGGGAAGACGTGAACCCAATTCTGCTCTGGAAGTCCGTGCATCTTGGCAGCGCCGCCGGAGGATGCTTACCGACATTTATTTATTTATATATTTATTTTATTTTATTAG